AAGGTTTTATATTATAATTGGGTTTCTCGATTGAGTTACTTTTTTTTTAACCCTAAGAGACCTGAAATTGCATGGATCCCCTAAGTTACTGAGAGGCTGTTTTTAGGTTGGAATTGCTGTAAGGCTGCTTCCCCAACATTTGCTCTTGTGTGCTTTAGTTCTGTATCACAGGGCCAAAATTGATCCTTCAATGGGAACTTGATTAAATCTGTCAGACTTGGAGAAATCAGCTCTCCGTTCTGTCACTGGCGATATTTGTGCAAGTACTGGTTACAGGCAGCCGGAGTAAGTTTGAAGGGGGATTCTGTGAGGCGAATTGAAGAGGCTGAAGGCTGCCCAGAGCAAGCGGTGGGGAGGGTGTCTTGTTCCCCTAGTTGGGATTCCAGCTGCTTCTTGCCTTGAGGCTTGGGGTGCCCAGGTTCAGGGCACCCCCTGGTGGTGCAAGGGACGCATCACACTGAGAAAACAAAAAAGTGGTAGCAAGCTTAATAAAGGGGCGAAGAGTTCAGGTATGATCTTATTGTTCTTCCCCTTGGTAAAACGCCCAAGTGAATAAAATCTTGTTTTCTCCTTTCATCTGTAACTATTTACATCATATTCAATGCTAAGTGTTTGGAGTAGAAACAAACCAGAAAAGCAAGCACAAATAATTTGATGACAAATCCTACATGACTTTTAAAAATACTCTCTTTTTATTTTTTATTACAACAGTGACACATATAGTCTGGAAAGAATAAAAAGAATCATTTACAATCCAATGACCTACACAGGATACCTCTATTATTATTTTGTGGGGTTTTTCTACTATTATTTTGATGTATTCTGCTATTTTTTTCTAGGTCTTTAGACTCATAGATCACACAAGTACACGTCCCTTTTTAAAAAAAAAATCATTATTTTATCCACTTAATTACATACGTGAGCTTTCTTCTGTATTACAGAGGTGAGCCCTTCAGCATTGCTAGTGGTTGTTTGTTTAGTTGGTTTACAAACACCAGTGTTCACAAATTCAACACCATCCCTTCCTCCTTATGGATTACTGTCCTTATTTCCTTAGGGCCAATCGGTGCAAACAGAATGGCTGAATCAAAAGAACATAGAATTTTAAGGCTTTTGATATTTATTGTCTGTTCATTTGTTTTAAAAGCATTTTTCGATGATGCAGTTATAGGAAAAAAGGTTTCTTCAAATCCTATCATTTGCATTTTTAGTCTCTGTCAGGAATTGTGTGGTGTTTTACATGCCTCAGTCTCATTTAACCTTCCAACAACCTGTATCTGTTGTTATCCTTACATTGCATATGAGTAAAGTTGAGTTTGAGGAAACTCAGTAGTTATTATATGACTTCAAAAGTCAGGAGAGAATAGTTTTCTGAAATTTAATGAAAAATAGCATTTTGCATTCCTTGAGTCTTGAACTGAGTTGGAACTAATACTGAAAATTTTCCACTGGTAAATTAAAAAATAAGTATGTAGACAGTAAAAGAAGAGAGGAGGAAAAGAAAATATACTCCTATATCCTTTGATTAGAAACACGAGTAAGAATTAAGGGAAGTCTGGATAGGTCTTCCTGTGAAAAGGCACTGTGGTGGACATCAGTACCAGCTCTGCTGACTTATTCCACAGAGATGTTTTCAGAGTCTCATAATTTTTTTGTAAATGCATTTTATTTAACCTCAGTGCATCAGACTGATTAATTAGCCCTTATCTAGGCAGAAGTTGACTCTGGTAATGTCAGGATATCTCAAATCTCTGAACAAAACCAGAAGTAAACCTTTAAAGTTTAAACTTCTGAAATTTTAGCAATCTCTATGGTTCTTTGCAGTTTACCTTTCATAGTTGTTCACTAGAGATCTACATGTTACTTTTTCCACTTTTACCCTGTATTTTATTCTCTACATTGCAAGACAATATTCTTTGTTATTGAAAGCTCAGGAACAGCCACAGCAAAAGAAGAATAATAAAGATTGCTCATCGTTCACGCGCCAATAAATATTGTATGTGTGTTGTTCATTTTTGGTTCAACATTTGCCATTCCTTGGGCTCCTTCACACTGAGCATGTAGCTCACTAGTGCAACCCTTGCCTAGCAGGTGTAAGGCCCTAGTTTGGATTCCCAACACTAAAAACACCAAATTAAAAAAAAAAAATTGAACCTTTTCCCCTTTCTTTCAAGGAAAATCTCAGGTACCACTCAACAGAATAGGAACATCTGTAGTTTCCTTTGCCATTTCTCTCCTTCTGTGATAAGTCATGGAATTTATTAAGCATCTTTGAAAAAGCAACAACCTTCTTTTCATTTTTATAACATTGTTGTTTTTGTCACCTCCGCTATGTCCTTGAGGTGGTGGATGGGTCTTATGCATTTCTCTGGTTAACGTTCCCTTAATTTTGATGCCATTTCTGTGTATTCCCTTAACTGCTTGTTATTGTTATAATTAATAATCATGGAGTTTATCAAAGACAGCTCCTTTCTCACCACTCTTAGGGTTTTAGGCACAATTTATTTTCTAGTCAAAGACGTAGATCAGGCTCCCAAGTTCATGTACTTCACATGGAAGAGTCCTGAAAAAGTCAGTTTTCTTTCTCTGATTTCTACTCTCGGGCTCGAAACCTCTTCCACACAGACCTAGCGGGACAAGTTTCCTCTTGGAGACCCGAGAGAGCCCTTCTGTGAGGATGGAGACTGAAATTCCTTTGGCATCTTGCAGGAAGGGCCTCCTGCCCTAATACCCGCATCCTTCCTTATTCTGCTAGCAGAGACTCTTCCAGCAAAGGCAAGAAGAGAAGGTACAACCAGTAGACTTGGAATTTGCTCCAGTGTTCGAGAGCTTTTGCTTCTCTCACCCATATTTTCTTACTTTCCGGTGATACTTACTTAGAACCCCTGCTTTATTTAGCAACTCCCCTTTCTGCAAGCATCCCCCTCTTGGATGCGAGTCCCCTAGCAGCGAGAGGCTGGGTCTCTGTCTCCTTCACCCTCGCCGATTCCGAGCTGTCCCCATGCGGGACTGTCTTTCCTGGCTCTCTGATCCCAAGTACCATCCCCTTGTGCAGGAAGCTGTGATGTTCGGTGCCCTTTGTCCTCTTGCCTATCCACAGCGGCTCTTCAAATCTGCCATCCTACCTCTGTCCCACACTTTATTTACCATGTACCTGCAGGCCTTTCTTATTTGCTTCCTTATTTACTTGCCTACATCAAGATCTTTCTTTCATAGCGGATAAAGCCTGCAAACTTGGGAGCAGAGACTATGTGCCCTAAGCAACCCTTACCTTTCCAGCACAAATATATTCACCTAGGAAGGAGCTTTTACGAGGTCAGTCTAGCTAGGGGTCCTAATGGTGTCACTTCTCTTTCCTCTTAAAGGTCCCACCTCCAGCTCTTTTACTGTTTTTACCCTGGGTAGACTATTTTAGTATATAGTTCTTGTCTGCAGACCTATCTTTTGGCTTTCTGGCTTTTAAGCATAGCCACCTTACTCAAAGGTTCTTTTTCTTTTTGTAATTTGTGTCTCATATGTGTGGGGCCAGGTTCTAAATAATATAAAGTAGTTCAAAAATAAATAACTTGGGTATACAGTATAGATAGATATAATATTATGTGTATAAGATGCAGATATGGATCCTGGATATTGTGTCGCTCAGTTGCAGTGGTATTTAGAGGCGGTGTGTGTGGACATATCTGAATGCCCTGTAATAATACAGAGCAAGGGTGCTGCTTTGGCAGAATCAGGGCGAGAAATTTTCCTTTTTTTTTTTTTTTTTTGTGATTCTAGAACAACTTTATTTTGCATAACAAGTTTATTTTTTAAAGGCATACAGACAAAACAAAGTAAACATTTAAATAGATTTTAACTTCTGCCCTAAAACTGTTCCATTAAGTGTCAGTCTCTAAACATTTTTAGTTCAGTAATAGTTATCTTCATCAGTCCATTACTTTTCTTCTGTTGAATTTAACTGTTGTTTTCTTTTCTGTTTGTTGGCTTCCTTTTTCAAGGATTTCTGTTAAACCTTGTTCTGAGACCTTCCCACTTAGCTGTCCATACTTTGCCATCTGTATAAGGTAATTCTCTACTGCTTCCGTGTTTTCAGGCTTTACAAGTGCTAAGTTACTTAACCTGGCCCGGGCTGATTGATCCAGAACTTGCGCTAAGATACTGTTTCTCATTTCCGCTTCCCTGTGCTTGGCTTCCTGTTGTGCTGCATCATTAGGACCCCCGTGTTTCGCCTGCAGCTAGGCCAGCCTCTGCTTGCTCGGCCAGCCTCTGCTTCCTCAGCGCCTCCAGCTCCTCATCCGCCATAGCGCAACCGTCGTGGAGCAGCAGCAGTAGCTACTGTCCGGCCCACCCGGAACGATCTCAGATTTTCCTTTTTTAAGAAACAAAAAATATTTTCCTAGCTTTTTTTAAGTTAAGTTGTCTAAAAATTAGTCAAATCAAAGAGAAGTAAAATATTTAAGTACTAGCACAGCACCACCGTAAACTGAAGCCCGGGTTCAGATATTAGCATACAGGCTCTGGATTACATCGCTACCCTTCTCTCCCGAGCATACCCCACTGGGTGTGGCATCCTGCATGAGCAGGGTGGAGAGAGGGCACTATCCTCAAGGCCTGCTCTTATGGCTGGTGCCCCAGGGGCCAATGCCAATGAAGAGGCAGTCTTGGGTCTCACAAACACTGCATTTTGACTGGGGAAGGTGTTTCTCCTGGAGTGGGCAGCTCTGGGACCTGGGACAGCCTCAGGGACAAGGGTCAGCCTGACACTTTCAGATGATGGGAGGTGAAGCCAGATGCGTTTTGGAGAGAACTCAGCTGCTAGTTAGGACTTGCTTTCAGCCTTCCTTCTAAAGTAGAAGGCGGGAACTGCCACCTTTTTTTTCTTTCTTATGGAAGGAGGGGGAAACTCTACTGTATTTCTACTGGTCAGCCTATTCTTTATTTCTTCATGTTTCACCCCTTTTCTTTTCTGTTTTTTTTCTTTCTCTTTCTCTCCTGGTCCACAGGCTCTGAAGTGCATGCTGATATCCCTTCAGGCAGAACTTGACATGCAAAGGTACTTGATGAAAATTGAATCATCTCAGCGAGTTAGTACTCTACCTTTTCTTTTTCTGCATTGACTTGCACCTCGCCTTGTGCCTTTCAGCTCATTTGTGTGTGGCATTCTAATCCGTGGTGGTGACAAAACCAGATTGCCTGTTCTTTCCCATTTACCCTAAGCCTTGATTCAAAACTATCCCAAGCCAAGTGCCTGTAGCCTTGTGAAACATGTGCCTTTCTAAACAATGAGAGTTGGTATTAGAGTGAACACTAATTGCATGCTTGCTTTGAAATGTGTAATATACTTCCACAGATGGATTTGGGATCATCTGAACAACGGTCCTCTGAAACAGAGACCCCATGCCGGCCAGTAAGGCAGAACGCTGCATCCTTCTAGCATTCCAAAGCCTTGGGTCCAGATCATTTCACAGGCAGGCATTTTAATGATGATGATGATGATGGGAACAGACACATTTGCCTAGAACTTGCTGTGTGTCAGCACGCTTTTCAGAACACTGCACCAGTAACAACCTCTCACCACAGCAGTGGGGGTAGGCATCCAGTGATCCCCATTATAGATGAGGAAACTGGGGCACCAGAATATTAAGTAACTCGCCCAGGACCACACAGGTGATTATTGGCAGCACGGAGATTTGATTCTGGGCAGTCTGACCCCAGGAAATTGTCCGCTTAGGATTTGTTTGCCATAGACCTCAGGGCCATCTATCTTACGTTGAGTTGGCTTAGAATGTTAAACCTGGAGGGAATGGGAGAGTTCCCCGCCACTTGGCTGGATGGACACTGGGTCTCCGGCAGTTGACACTGGGCACACAGCCACCCATACCCCCTTGTCCCCAGAACCCGCACACTGGTGCCTCATGGTGATGCCCAAAACACTGTCCTTAGAAAGTGCCTCACTGTGTGTCCTTCCCTCCTGGTCACTCTTCAGTGACCATGCTGACCTCTTCACCTTCCCCTTTTAAATAATCAGTCTCTTTGGTTTTTATTTAGGTCAACGAGCTCCAGTTAAAGAGTTCCTGCCCAAATAAATAGACATAAAAGTTAAAGGTGGACTAGATCTACTACAGAGAGCCAATGTCATAGCTTACATCCTCCCAGTCCTGACAGGTGTTTGTCTTTCATGTTTCCATGAGCTCTTCCTTGCTTCCGTGTTTCTACAATCCAGGCAAAACAGAGGCATCTTTACATTTCCTTGCACATGTAGTACCCATGAAGTAGAAATGCGGGGAGGAGAGAGGATGCCAGGTACACCCTTCGACTTGGCTGCTTTTAGAGCAGAGCTTTGGTATTGCGGGATTTTCCCATCACAAATGGTACCGAACGTGGGCTGCCCTCCTGTGTGCCTTGTTGTTGGCTGGGAGGGGACCATGGGGCTGACTCCAGAGCCCGCGCATGCTCAGCATGTGCCAGAGCTTAGCTCCCCTCCCCCCAGCCCCTTCCCAGATCTCTTCTTCTGCTTGAAACAAATCCTCACTACTGACTTGTCTTTCTCTCCTTTTGTGTTTTTAACATATCGGCAAATAATTAAATACCCAAAAATGTCTTTCAAGTTTTGGAGTTTTGGGTTTTGAATTCTTTTGCTCTTTTTTGTGTTTGCATTTCTAGACAAGTTTCAACTGCAGTGGTGATTTTGGAGAGGCACAGGAGGATGGTTAAGCTTGGAAATTGAGAGGATTCGTTCTGTCCTGGAGTGAGCGAGTGGCTCAGAGACCTCTGTGGATGTCAAATTCTCTGTTTTGAAATTGGAAGTAATCCTTAGCCTGTCTCCCAGGACCAAAGGCAGCAGGGACACATAAAGTACTGGTGAGACCCTTCCTGTCTCATCCGGGTCCTGTCTGTATGGCATCGACCCGAGCAAGACAGGAGCTAAGCTGCCTGGAGCTACCCCCGTGAGAGGGGTGCCCTGTAGGGTAGCTAATGCTTTGCATCATTCGTAGGCCACAGATTGCTCTCTTGTGCACTTATTTTCAGTTATCCTCACCACAACTATATCCAGCAGGTATTGATTAGTTTATTTTATTTATTGATATACACTTTTTTTGGTAGTTCTGGGAGTGGAACCCAGGGTCTTACACATGCTAGGCAAGTGTTCTACCACTGAACTACCCCCCTACCCCTCTGATTATTTAATTAAAGTGAAAATTGAGGCTCAGAAAGGTTTCATGTGGAGTTGCAGCACCAGTATGAGTCATTGTTTGAATCTGTGTTCCATAAAATAACATGATAAGAACAGCAAGCCCTCTTGGGCTGGGGATTTAGCTCAGTGGTTCCAGCACCTGCCTCGCAAGTGCAAGGTCCCAAGTTCGATCCCTGGTACCAAAAAAAAAAAAAAAAAGAACAGCAAGCCCTCTCACCCTTAATCTTGTCTGCTCTCCACTTCTCTAAAGCCTGGTATTCTTTAACATAGCAGCATTAGAAGAACTTTTATAAAGTGTTTTTTCATTAGAAAACGATTTCTGTGCAGTGGGTCAGGTGGTGCTGGTGGTGTGTGTTTGTGTGTCCACAGTGTGACTTAGAGAATAATAGCAGACTCTGTTCCTGGGATGTGCGGAAAGGGTCCAGGCACAAGCGTGAAGACTTGGTGGCCTTGGACACCCACAGCAGCTCCTCTGGCCCAGCTCCCTTGGGCTTCCCCACTCTGGGCAGTGAGGACATCGTGAGATCTCCCAGGTCTCGCTGAGGTCCGGGCCCTTGCTATTGGGACGGCCTCACTGCTTCACAAAAATGCCACTGGACCATAGTGCACCACCCCTGGGCCTCAGAAGCTCGGAAGCAGAGGGTGTGGGGACACATTTGCTCAGAGGTGTGTACGGAGCACTCCGTGCTCCGCTGGCTGCATCTCGCCGGAGCTTTCAAAGCCTTAAGCAGGTCCCTTTACTCTCATCACTGTAATAGCAGCGAGCCCCACACAGACACCTTTTACCAGAAGCCTTTTAAAGCGAATGCCTGGCTCTGAATTCCAAAGGCATCTGGTGCCTTGCTCAGGCTGCAACCCAGGAAGACTTCAGAGCCAGGGCCTCTTGACCATTTTTCTTATTTCTAATGTACATATTAGTGGTTTCAGAAAGAATGGAAGGAAGGAATAAATTGATTGATTGTTTGATTCAGTAAAGAAACTCTAAGACAGATACACTAAAAATCAAAGGCAAAACCTCATCAAAAAAGGAAGCAAATTTACAAATAATCACTACCACATAAGCTTCCACATTAGATTTAGCTTCAGACTTTCTAATATATGCCATATTTTACATAATTTTCATTATAAGGCAAAGTAATACTTAACTCTTCAGGAGGCCAAGTTATTTTCCTCCTTTTAAATTCTACAGGAAACATTGCTTGCTTGTGACTTCATACGTGAGACACAGACTGACATCATGGGCAGCATCCACAAGCGAAGAGCAGTCTTCTTCACCTAGCCTTTTTTATTTTGTATCAGCAAAATAAAAGAGGAAAACATGGCACTAAATAATCGCATGAGTGAATGTCTGGAAGGGGTGGGATCTTAGTGAGATCCAGATGTGGAGCTCGCTGAGTAGCTGATGACGCAGCTTTGGGATTTGACGGAAGGATGCTAAATAGAGATGGTAGGAGCGAGGCCACATGTTCTTTAAATAGCCTGTGTCCAAGGCTGGCTTTGGGGAGGAGTCATACAGCAGCCCGTTTTAGGAGTCCTTCCAGAAGAGAGCTTCTGTCGTGTCACAGCTAAGTCACCAGGGTGGCAGGTGGGCATCTCATCCTGGAAGCTGGAAGCACTGGCCGGCCTTCTGAGCTGGCGAGGTGCAGGATCCACCTGCAGCGCAACAACAGACCTGGGCACCAATTCCAGGCAGAAGCAAACCCCTCTGAGAGGAACCGTGTCAGCTGTACAGGGCGAAGGGACTAAAAAGCAGAAAATGTTCAAGAAGTTTTAGATAAGAGCTAAAATTCCAAATTTACTTGGAGTCAAATTTTAGCAGCCTTATAATGAAGTTACTATAATGGTATTAGAACCGCAGGATGAGAAAATGTGTCTCTTTAACATGCAGAGTGTGATCTGCATATCCAAAATTGATCTAAAGGCTTAGGTGCTTCTTTCCTACCTGAAGCTTTTTGGAGTTAGAAGTCTTTGCAATTCTGGGTTCTTGGCACGTTCTACATGGCAAGAAAATGAGAATATTTCCTAGCCCGTGTTTTCCCTGTGTTTCCAGAACCACCTCTTAAGGACAAGTCCTTTCAGCTGACCCATCCTGCTGACTGCACCCCTTAGGCATGGGTGTGAACACCTCCAGGTCCCCGTAGATAGGAAACCTGGATCCTGAATATTTGTATCAGTCATCCCCTCCCCGATCTGTTACAATATCAGTAAGTATTCAGTAACTCTTTGATATACAAATGCAGTATATTCTCATTTTAGAGAATGAAGAAAGTATGTTACCCATAATACCACAATCAAGGGAAAGCCAGGGTCAGTATTTGGGTGTATTGCTTCCATATCCTAAATTATACAAAAATTCCTTAAAAACACCTTCAGTATGACTCCATAGTATTCCAGAGCATGAATATATTGTAACTATTAACCCTCTAAGTTGTTTCTAGATCTACGGATATATTAAAGGTGTAGTATGTACAGATCTGCTACGTGCCACTCATTTTTCCCAGTCAAATTAATGTGGCTTGCCTTCGGCAGTTACTGAGAATGAATTCATTCTCCACATCCTCAGGGAAAGCACTGTCCCCTCACGTGGGGTCAAAGAGGCCCTAGGGAGCTTGTCTCCTCCTAGCCAGTGAGGCTGGTTGGGCCTGGGCCTCCTGGGACTCGAGCAAATGGCTTCTGGTGCCCTGTTTGCCCTGGCCCCTGGGGTCAGCCCCTCTGAGCACGTCGAGAGTCCGTATCCCCACGTGGGCTCTTTGCACATGGCACCCTGTTCTCCCCAGTCCGCCACCAAAACTGCCACCCTCTTCTTTCCCCTGGAAAAGTCAACCACTTCCCTGCTCCTGGTGGATTAGTAACCTTCTTCTCCAGATTCACTTCCGACTGCCGTATGTT